CGTCGACCAGATGTTTTGCTTGTTCCAGAAGCTGCACTGGGTTCCATCAAAAGCAAAAAGAAGCTGCACTGCGTCCCTTACATGCATAAGCATAACAAGAGGCCCAGGTGGAATTCATTCTCTCACATAAAGGCGATTGCAATTGCAATCTCCCAATTTTTTATGCAGTGCAGCCAGCTCATAGAAACTTGAATGCATGGCATCTTGCTCACCTCTCTTGCTTAAATCGAATCACCTTTCTCCACGTAATTATAATAATTATTGACGCACTTACAAAATAAAATAAAACCCAAATCATTACAATTTATGTGTGATGGTCACACACCCTCAAAACCTCAACTAACATAACTCGTATCATTGCACTACCTCAGATCAACAACATAAATGATTGCACCATCACCAATATTTCACCAATTAATGCAACTTTTAGATGCCACTACCACAACCATCATCATAATTATTTAAGGATGCTCCATGAACAACCTGAGTGAGCCATCTTGTATGATTCTATGATGTTGGCACTCATGAGAATTCATGATTATTCCACATCACTAAGTTGTAAGTTCATCTATTTTTTGGGGGGTTCTGTGATAGACCATAACCCCAAACATACACCTTTACACAAAAGAGAAAAGACACTTTTGTCATGCATGCATTTTCAGTACTAGTATATGTATATGTGTTTCTCCCATGCAGCATCACATGAGCCCACGCCACTTTGACACGCAAGAAAGGAGTGGGATCAAGGAGGAAAAGGAAAGGGGAGAAGCTAGAAGCATGCATGATCCGTCTGCATTGGCATTGCACCCCCGTCAGCCTCACATGGGCTGCCCGGTTGCTCACAGTAGCCTAGCTGGTAGATTTGTCCACCGCCATGCCAAGCCCAAAAAGTGTACCCTCTGATCTTCCTACCACCAACTTCTGATGGATGAACCCCAGAGAGAGAGAGAGAGAGGTGCATGTCTCTGCAAGGCTGCAGCACATTTGGAATAAAAATGGAAGAAATCTAGAGCACTATGCTGGGGATCTATCATCTATGGGTTGTCAGGAAAATGAACAAGAATATAAGTATTATATAGTACAAAATTACTGGCAAGAAGTATTTTTATTAAGCTTGGAAAAATATACAGGTATTAATGCTGCGGATTGTGGACGGCTGCAGTGCCATGTACTAATCCACTGCAGGAAGGCAGGTGAGATTTGCATTTCTTCTAATAAGCAAAGCGCGCACTTACCGCTTTTCATTTTAAATGAGAACGAACTTAATGATGCCTGCTCCTTGCAAGTGCTACTGTGATATCCCAATTAATCATTCTGCACTTCTGCAGCAGTGTTAGTTCTGTTATGAAAACAGTATCTCCCATCATGCAAATGCGCTGCTCATGAACAACCACAAGGGGAAATTAGGGGGCATCTTTTATGTTTCCTATGGGTTCAAATTAAAGGGGAATCATAACCTAGTTAGGCACCATGCGTGATCTACAAAATCATAGCCCAAGCCCTACCACTATGGTTGAGCGGCAAAAGAAAAGCTGGGCACAGGTTGTCTATAACAATATTTAGCTTGGACCCTTTGCATGATTTGGATCAAAATTACTGTGAAATGACATGACAAACAACCCGGTTATCTCCCATTTGGTTGCTGGCCAAGTCACACTACTGGGGCTCCTGTTTTAAGGAAGATCATCATGCAATCGTACGTTTATTTCTCCCCTGCAGGATTTCTCACAGAATTTCTGAAAAAAGTCACTTCAGTCAGTGTCCGCATCTTGACGCTTCAGCATATAGTATTCAAAATTCTGATGATGTTTAATTTGGAATCTTGTGTAGAGCATGCAGTCAATTTTACAGTGGCATGTAATGCAACGAAACACACACACATTGGCAGCTGAAAGTCAGGCATTTGTGGCCGAGCCCGGGAGCAGGCGTTTTATGGCGTTTGTCGATGGGGCAATGGCTACAAGAGGGGCACGGGCCTAGGGGAGGAGACGCGAACAATAATGCAGCAATGCTAGTACTGTACTGTACCATACATGGTCCTTCTTCAGTCTCATCTCACATGTCACAGCCCCGGCATGCAGCTGCTGATGAGGCGCTACTGGGATCGTCTTGCCATGTGCATGCCATGGCCCATGGCAGTGTGTGTGGTTCACTAACAATGGAGGTTGGTGAGGACTGAGGACTGAGGACTGAGGACCCTGCTTGCTCTCCACTTATGGAGGCTATCCAGGGAGGGGTGTGAAAGCTACATATCATCCACTCGGAAACCCAATCATTTGGAGATGGACACAAGGAAAAGTATGCTAGCATTACCAAGGTGTAGGTGTGTGTGGATCAGGGAGAGATTGCTGGCCAATGTTGCATTGCATGAAGTTAATCCTTACCAGTGTCTTGGTCTTGGAGTAGGATTGGTGACCAATGTTACATTGCATTGCACTGCATATGACAATGGTCTTGAAGTCACTCCAACCCATGCTGAGCGGTATTCAGCAGCTCAGAGGTACTGCAAGACAAAAACCAGTCATTTTTTTTTGCGAATGAGACAAAAACCAGTCATATGCAGAGGTAGTCACATGCATGGTGGACACCCAGATAGAGACAGTAGCAAGGGATCCAAAACCCAAAATGGTTGGTACGTATTTACCTGCTCACAAGATTTGCAAACAGCAGATGCGTACAAACTTGCCTTTTAGGGGGTGTCTGCAGCCTTCTTGGGTAGTAGTAGATGCCAAACTAAACACATCTCAGTACCCTGGGTTAAAGGTAACATGCATGAACAAAGGGGGAAGTTGGTAAGGTTTCATCAAAAGTTGAAAATCGTTGGGGCCATTTGAAACCACCAGCCTTCAGGTTCGAGGATGTTGGCCTGTTCAGCGAATGCATGCAACAAGAGCTCATGCTCAGCTTTCAGTTTTTCCAGAGCGAAAAAATTAAAACTGGTTCAGGCAAGATATATAAAAGAAAGCATTGTTTTTTTTACTACCTCTATGTAGTAAATAAATAAAAGTTGACGTTTAAGTTGGGACATGACAAATAGATTGTTTGCTGCTTGTCTGAAACGCTGAGAGCTTTGCTGACCGAAGGTAAAGTGCATGTACTTGAAAGAGAGAGGAGTGAGTACTTGACAGGAGTGCCCTTGCACATACAGCCACTCGTCCTGTTCGCTTGTTGGTTTCAACCAGACTTATTCAATCAACCAATAGTGTTTTTCTCTCACAAAAACACCAACACCAGCCAGCTCAAATCAGCACCAGCACCAACTAGCGATGTCTTCGGTTTTGGTACTCCCATTTTGTTACTGTGGATCGTTCTACTCACTTGTAGTACGAAGCAGTAGCTTCGATCGGCACATGCTCAGTTGCGCATCAGGCACGCCACCGTTGCACTGCACAAGATGTCCTGTGTAGCACTAGATGCCGCGTTTTATAGCGTGCGTTGTTAGAGAGGTTTACTCGCTCTAGTACAGTACTGGCCTACTGGGGAAGTGTTCCAGATGCTTTAGTGCTTTACACGCTCCGCTCTCTCCCTTTTCAGTTTTCACCTGCAAAATAGATGCATTATATTATATTAAACAGCAGCCATCTAGCGAAGATTTTGTGCGAAATCATACGTGCCTCAAGCCTCCAACCAGGAACGATTTTCAAGCGAAACCAGCTTTGAGATTCCTTCAACTAAGGATGAATAAGAACAAAACTTTTCATGGGAGAAGTGCCTCTAAGTCATATTCATCGTGCCAAAACTTAAAAGTTCAGCCTGAACACACTTACGTAGCAGCATCGATTTTTGAAAACATTGAACTAGGTGGTTTTCAGAACGTTGAGTGCACAAAATCATAACAGGAAAATGTCTTAACCAAATGATGAGATGAAAAGGACCTCAGTACAGGGAAAAAACCTGGCCCGACTTTTCTATGTACTGGGCCGACCTCGTGTGCTAACCAATTTGGGCCGCTGTACGACGACCAAACCAAATTTTCTGAATGCTCTGTTTAACTTGTTCTGTTAATTTTGTTTGTGACTCTTACTCTAATAAAATTTTCTGCAGGGGCTTAGGCCCCTCCAGTTTCCTCAAAAAAAACAAGCCAAAATTAGTCAGGTCGATAGATCATATAGGAATCTGAATTCGCTGTCCGGCAAATTGAGAAAGTAATTGAGCAATGGCAATAGCTGACACATACTCGAAGTCGACGCCTCCACTTTCCACATTGCACCAGATCTGGCGGGACCTCAATACAGTATTTCTGCTCGCAAAGTGCACCGAACAGTTCCAGAATTTATATATATACAGTTCCAGAATTTATTTATAAATATAATCTCTCCGTCTTAAATTATAAGTCATTTCAAGAATCTTGAAAAGTCAAAGCATTTTAAGTTTGACCAAAATCATAAAAAGAATTACAAAGATTTATAATATCAAATAGATATACTATGAAAATATAATTAACGAAAATCCTAATAATACTTAGTTGGTATCATAAATATTATTATCTTATCATATAAATTTGGTCAAACTTTAAATGCTTTAACTCTTCAAGATTCTTGAAGTGACTTATAATTTGGAACGGAAGGAGTAAATCTCATCGACCATATCGTTGTAGGACAACGGCAATTTGTTCAACTGATGAAGCGCAAACAGTTGTGCATAACCATGTCCACTTTTATATACCAAAATGTCCGTAAAATATATAAAGGACGTACCTAGGGCAGAGAGCTCCCGCTCTGTGCGGAGTCTAGGGAAGGGTGTCAGTGACGAGCCTTACCCTCGCCTATGCAATGCGAGGAGACCGCGACTCAAACCCGGGACCTTCCGGTCACAGGCGGTAAGACTCTACCGCTTGCACCATGCCCGCCCTTCGTTCGTAAAATATATGGTCTGCATTATTTGCGGCCAAACATAACCCATAGTATTCCCTCGCAATACATAATATACAGTATCAGCCTCTGCGTTCCATCACGTGCACCGTTGGATCATGCAAGGAGTGAGGCGCTTTTTTTTTCGCTTTATGGGATGGTTCTCTGGTAGAGTGGAAGTGCTCCCAATGCTTCACGCTCTGCGCTCTCCTTTTTCACCTGCAATACAGATGCATTAAACTTTAAACACCAACCATCTTGGGATGATTTTCTAAGAAATTTTACCATAATGATGCCTTCAACTAGGGGTGAATTTGAACAGATATTATTCAGAAAAGTACTGCCGATGCATATGCATCAAGTTACACTCCCAAGGATATATACTGACATAACAATCAATATTTGGCAACGTATTCTAGCATAATCAGGTGAGGATTAGTGAAATCAAAAGGAGCTCATAATAGGAAGTCACAAATCACATCCACCACATTGTCAGACTGATCTGCTTTAAATGATCATCTGATCGCCATTTTAATATTGCAGACTAATACACATATACTGGACAGTGTGAACAGATCATAGAAAAGGAAAACTTCAAGATGCAAGGTGCCTAGAGTGCAGTTTTTCCTTTATTAAATTTAAGGACATTAACATGATATCAGATATCTGCATCGATGCCATCAGATGAGGATATTGATCGCTGTAGAATCTAATAATAATTCACGAAACCTTATTTTGTCTCTAATTGTATGTACCTATGTTGGACTGTGATCTGATAACGGGAAAGGAATACAGTAATACACAATATAACAAGCTAAGGAAGAGGGAAAAGAGAAACTAGCAAGACCCCATGCAATGAAGATATTATATACAATATATAAGTATTTAAGATATATTGGTAGAAGAAAGCAGAAGACAAGTATGGGAAAAAACAGAATCATGACAAATGCAGTATAGTTGACAGATAGTCAAGTTATTAATTGAATCTAGGAAGAAACAAAATGATAAGGAGAAAAAAAAATGCACTCACAAGAGCAAGCATGTCAGAAAGGTAGCTCCTGAATGGCGTCTGTATAGCCTGCCAAAAGCAATCAAGGTGTCAATAAATTTGATGCATAAATTGATGTTTCAATGGATTCTAGAAGCATCATAGCAATTCTCGTGGGGACTGACAAAACAATGCCCATTTAAAATTTATGCATGTCAGATAGACAATCAAAATAGAGCGCAATAGCAGCATCTAACCAACAGCCATAGGTGGATTTCAGATGCACTATGCAACTTAAGTGAGTTATATAATATATATCTAACAGCTTCCAATAAATCCTCACTATCTCATAAACAAAATAACAGAGAAAAACACAGTTCTGGTATACTTGTCACAGCAAAACAGACATGGAAATAAATATAACAACACAAGTCACAAGCAGAAAGCCACATCACCTATAGCCAAATCTTCCACCTTCCATTTCACAAGCATCTAAAACGATGTTTAGAACCCACCTTGTTTACCAATGATAATCAGCTGTTATACCATTCATGACTCAAATCCCTCGCTTGAAAGGTACATCTAAAATCAATGTGGCAATCAACCATGATCACCACCATGAACTGCAAAAAGACATACCGAAAAAGCACTAACAAGCCAACAAGGGGGGCAAAACAGAGGCAACACGGCACCAACAACTAAATGTCCTTCCAGTGTTATTAAGTCATCTGACTAATTGAGATTAATTGAGCTTATTTGGTCCATGGACCTCGATTAGGCGTTCCAAAGCAACTAGTGTGTTCAGAAATTTGATTGGACGACTAATCACAGTCAGTTGTCCGATTAGCTCAGGGACAAACAACTATCCTGGAGAGAAAATTGTGAGCTGATCAGCTATGCTTGGGGGTACTCAGGCACTGGGCTTTCTGTTTTTGGCCAACAAGTAAGCGACCAAGCTCGATGCTTACTTTGTTTACCAAATTATCATAATGTCCTTGTGCACTGGTGCTATAGTTTAGTACCAGTACTTTACTACTTAATACTTTAACTAGTTAAAACTTATACAGTTAAACTATATATATCCTGGATAGCAAGGAAGTAGATAGGACGACTATACTACTAGATAGCCGACTAGCCACCAAGTAACCAGACCTGATTGATGAGTAATCGCGAATAGTCAGCTGATCAGTACCCATATGATTAGGTTCAGCTGATCAGCGTCCTTAGCTTCCATTTTGTCAACTTCACAAGCATTTAAGTCGATCGCATATTCCAATGTGATCATTCAATCATTGTCCATCCAATTCCTACGAATCCAGCTAAACTCAAAATGGTAATCCAGCAGAACCACCACCACAAATTGAATTATATTACCTAAAACTGAAATCGCTTTCTTCCCCAATTTCATACGACAAATACAAATTATAGAGGGAGGCAGAAGCACGAATCCTGACCTGGACGTCGTCGGGTAGGTACTGGTGCTTCATGGAGAGGTCCATGGCCCGCTTGAGGCGCTGGTTGCGGGCGTCCACCACCTCCCGCGGCAGCCGCGCCAGCGCCTCCTTGATGTCCAGGTCATGGTAAGGGTCGTAGAGGTCGTCGTACCGGAGCCCTGCGCCGACCACGACAACGAGGAAACCGCTCAGGACCGCCGGCGGCGAACCTCGCTAGCTGGCAGCCGCGAACCCTAGGCACCCTAGCGGCGGGTGCGGGGAGGAGGAGGGCACGGACCGTATTTGCGGAGGCGGGACGCGACGGCGTTCCGGTGGAGGCGCGCGAGCGGGTTCCGCCGCGGGTTCACGAACGACGCCGACAGCTTGGAGAGCATCTTCGGCGAAGCTTCTGGAAGGTTCGCGGCCTCGTCACTCGTGTGTGCTTCTGATGTTCGGCGCTCGGCGGGCTTCCTGTCCGTGGTGCTTGGGGATTTTTGGGGAGGAATTCCTTTTGGGGACGGAGAAGGCCGGAGAAGCTTCAGGAGGGTGGGCACAAGACAGGCCAGGGCCACTGGGCCAGGCCGGCCGGCCCATTTTGGTAAGCACAGAAGAGTGTGCCTCGTGGTCAGAAGTCAGTACTCAGAGAATGTTTGCTCGTAACTGTAGTCCCTCTGTCCAATAAAACATGTAACTATGGGTTGCGTATCGATAAAAGTTGTTTACGTTTAACTAAGACCTTGGTTCCAAGCTTTTAAAATTTTTAGGAGCTAAAAATTTTAGGAGCCTTTAGGAGGCTGCTAAAACCTCCTGAAAGAGTGTTTGGTTCCACCTCCTAAAACTGACTAAAAGCAATAAATGCACTAGCAAAAAGACCATGCAGCCCTCCTCCTTATCCTTACCCTTGCTCCTTCTTTGCTCCCGTCGTGGCCCTCGCTCTCCTCCTCCTCGCCGTCTCCCGTTGTGATCCTTCACGCCGATTCCCCATCACCACCACCATAATTTACATCACCCATTCGAGCCATTCTACCAAAAGGACGGAACAGTACTGATGACCAGAAACCGTAGATAATCTAACGACATCCGAAGCCCAAGTGCATGTTGTAGTACTGATGATCCGAAGCAGAAATCATGCAGATGCCGGTGCCACCTCGCCAGCAGACGGGCGGTGAGCAGAGAGCATGGGGAACGACGCAGTAAAGGAGGGTGGGAGACAGAGAGGGAGGGTAGGGCAATAAAGGAGGGGTGGTGGGGGTCTAGAATGGACTTTAGGAGCTTTTAGGAGGGGGTGGAGCTACTAAAGTTTTTTCTCCTCCTAAAGTTTTTAGGACCCTTTAGGAGGAGATGTTTGGTTCTTTAGGCAAATTATATCTAAATTTTAGCTCCTAAAACTTTTAGAGGGCTAACCAAACAGGGTCTAAATTTCTAATGAATACTATTTACATTTATGACTTCACATTAATTTATTAAAAAATTACATTTCGTAATGAATCTAATGGTATTTATTTGATATCATAAATATTGATATCTTTTTATCTAGAATTAATCGAACATGAGATACTAAACCATGACACTGTACTAGAACTACATGTGTTTTCTGGACGAAGGAAGTAATAGAGAGTATGTGTTTTTTATTATTATAAATTTCATCGATGGTTAGATTTAAATTTTGTACCTAGAGAGTTTCAAAAAAAAATTATACCTAGACCATAGGAATTCGTGTCATAATAATCCCCTTCATCGAAATAGTTAGAGCCTGTATATTTGAAACATTTTGCCCTGACTCTGTCAAATGGCAAATAGATACTGAAATCAAATGGCGGTGGCGCCATGTGTTGCTCTTGCTCACCAACTCCCTCTACAACCTTGCTCTCACCGGTCAAAACATATATACAATTTATTTGCACGGAAAAGACGAATTCAACATTGCTGATTGATTTCTGAAAAAACGGAGCTTTGACAGACGACTTTGGACATTGCTGATCATATTTGTGATCATGCGTGAGGCGTGATGCGTGATGCGTGGTGCTGCACGTCACTACGTACACATTTTGCTTCAGCTTCAGATGCCTTCCAGCTGCTCCGGGGCCGAGACGAAGATCTGAGCGATAGCCTCAAGCGCAGAGACGTCCCAGCTCTCAGAGTGCCGAATCACCTGAACAAATACGAATATTTCAAATTCCCGTCGAACGTAAAGGCATATAATTTTACACGGTTTGGATTTTTCCCAACGGCTACCTTGAAATCTTCATTCAGATCATATGTTGTGTTCCCTCTGATCGCAATCAGGGGCCTCCATGGAAGCCTCAAATATGTCCTGAAAAGACAATTCTTTTCTATTTATTTAGAAACACTATATAGGAAAACACTATTTAGAAACAGTATATCTTTTGAAGCTTACAGAAGCACCTTAGTTTCCATGTTGCTTTGACGAACTTCATTTCAACCATGAAACCCTGTGAGATTAGATATGAAAGGGCATTTTCAGAAGAACTAAAAGCTTTGGTATGGATCATATGCTCATACTGTTTTTTCTTCTCAGACAACAGTATTAACTAAAATATGTCCGATTCAGCTAGGAGATTACTGCCAAAAAAAAATTCACTGACTTCCCATCAAAATATGGCGTGACTACCTTCTCAATGCTCTCTAGTTCAAGCGAAGGGCTGTCGAAGAACGGCACCAGCAGACCCAGATTCTGAGAGTACCTAGAAAGCCCTACACGAGCAAGAACGCAGTCCTTGTCACAAATTTCTCACCTTTTTTTTTCAGACAGTACAAGTTAACTATGTTCATCAACAAAGAGAAACATTACATTACACACCTCGGAACTTTATCGTCGGATCCTCAAACAAGCAGTCTTCGGTGTATATTCCCGGAGTGAAATCCCCTGCAATCCTAGAGAAGTTGATTACCATTTCCTTGGCATCGTTCTTTGAATAATCCAGATCATGCTGAATGTGCAATGTGCATGCATCAATGTCACAGTTCTGTCAGTTTCAGGATCAGCAGCTCCTCAATCTTGCAGCCGCCATGACCATGATCCAAACAACGAAACAATCCCTGATGAAAAGAACGCAGCAAGGTGCAAGAAGCCCGTACCGGTGAGGAAGTAGGCGCGCCGGTAATCGTCTTGGAGCACGGCGAGCACGTCGTCGACGCTGCCGCAAGGCGGCGGAACCGGATCCTCGCCCTGCTGGGTAGCACCATCCCTGCACAGCCGAGCCAAGAGCGAGCGCTCACAGAATCCAAATTCCAGAGCGGATGATGGGCTTCAATCTTGATGAGTGAGAAGCTAGGCTACCTGATGTTCTTGTTTGGGGAAAGGGCTCTGAGGAGCTCGGTGACGGCGCTGACGGCCGCCCTGACCACCGGCGGCGCGTCGGGCGCAGCTCTGACGACGCCCGTGAGGCGCCGGTGGCGACGCCTCCGCCCCTGCAGCAAGACGTGCGGGACGGAGACGGGCTGCAGGACGCTTCCGGCGGGCCGCAGCCGCAGGTGGCTGCTCGATGGCCGGGGCAGGGACGGCCCGGCGAATGCGCTTGGCGCCATCGGCCGCCAACCGCTGCTTGCTCAGGGAAACAACACGAACCGCAGGAGCTCGTGGCCGTCAGAAGCCAGCAGGTCGTGAGGCCTTCAGGGGGACACGCTCCGGCTGCCCACTGTCACTCCCTCACTCACTGCCTCCACTCGTCGCCGGCCACGGCGGAGGGCAACGCCAGAGACTCACCGGTTTCGGCTTTCCATAAACTATAGTTCAAACATTCACATGAAACCCAAATGTCATAGCTTTCTTAAAAGCTGAGATTTATCTCCTTCAAAATATATATGTATATATATATAGGGAGAGTATATTTACGATAGTTTTATATACTAATTTACTATAACGTCAATACATATTTACGATAGTTAGGTTACTATAATACATAAGAATATTTACCATAACGTTATAGTAAACCACTTAGTAAGGAATTACTATAATCTCGTAAATTAACATAATAATTATTGTAACTCAAAATAGCTACAGAATAAGTTATTTTATAGTCAACTTTATTTTTATATATATATATATATATATATATATATATATATATATATATATATATATATATATATATATAACGAAAAGGTTAGCAGGAGAGCTCGAGCTGATACAGGATGTTTGTATTTTGTAAAAACCCACACGGACAATGAATTAAGATCATTGGTAAAATGTTCCGGCAATTTGACCCCGGGTCATTGCTTGCTATATTTCCTTGCAAGACGCAAGAACAGTGTGCGCTATGCATATCATAGCATCAATCGATCGTCCCAATGACCAATCGAGTTCCAGCTCAACTTACACACTGCCTGATGTAATCCCGTATGCCACCTAGACACCCTGCTTTTCGAATTCAGGGATAGGAAACGCCTGCAGGGTCAGATCTAATGCTCAAATTGGATATACAGGAGGTCGCTGCGGGAATCGCCAGCACCCTGAAGCGAGAAAAGACATGAATTGGCCATTCCAGCATGTGTGGTTGGAAAGGTTAAACTTGTCTGCAGGGGTTGTTGTTCAGCTCGTCTGCAGGACTTGAACATTCCCCAACGCCTTCTCGCTGTCGTCGATGACTAGCTTTTTTCGGAGGGCCAGCAGCTCCTCTCCGGCACCGCAGATGTAGGCCGCTGTTCGCCTGCCAGAGAGAGTTGCCCCTTCCATGCTGTCAATGTAGTCCTGTCCAGCACAAACAAGATCATCGATTTATGCTTCATTTACCAATTACCATGTCCTAAAGATGTTTACATGTTGCAGCATTGGAGAAAAAAATTCCAAGGCGTTCAGACACCAAAAAAAAATCAAAATGGTCATTTTTTATGGTTTTCTGAGCCATTGATTTATGTTGATGGCCACAGCTAGGTCAAAAATTTTGATGTACTGATGTACAATACCTGTTTCGTATAAGATCCAGAGAGAAAGAAGTTTTTAACGGGCGTCTTCTGATCAGGTCTGAATGGGTCATTTCCAGGAGCCTCACGGTACAACGATTGTCCGATCTTTACCACACTGGACCATGTAACTTCCAAGCCCCGGGAAGATGGGAACAATTCTACAACCTGTGGGAAATTATATAATGTTTTGTTACTGAGGTGAGCTTTGGAAGAATATAAAAATAACATAAGCAGAAGAAATCTCTCTTTTTTAAGTGCTTTTAAATGAGGTCTTGCTTAGTTATGTGTAAATGGAATAGCAGAAATTTGACCAAAACAGAAGCTATTTACAAACCTACCTGCTTTTGAACCTTACTAATGATCTCCTCATTTGGCAATGGCATGTATGGATCGCCAGGAGTCAGCACAGCTCTGCAGATGAATTAAGCGCGGAAGATGAATACATTTGCAGAGGGATAAATCAATTTTATACTTGAAAAAAAGTAGACTTACTGGATCAGGGAACCTTGTCCTTCAATGTAGTAATCAGCAGGAGATGAGAGAGCAAGGTCTGAAAAACAGGAAAAGTCTGCATCCGCCGTGTACAAAAGGTTATCCAACCCAACCGCCCTTTGCAGTTGTCTACATCAAATATATATGAATAAATATCAATGAGCATGCATTGCGGGATGCAAATTGCATTTGCACACAAAAAAAATTGCACAAACAGAAGGAATCTTCATTTAAGCTTACATTATGGGTGGTGTGCATTTAAATTTGTCAGATCTAAACCAAATAAGTAACAAAGTTGTAAAAAAATACTGGATACTTCAGCTACCTTGATTTCTCCAAATCTTGAAGTTCAGTGACCCATCCATTGTAGCGAAGCTGAACAGTGACAACAGGGACACCATCTAACTTGTAGATATTGTCAAACATTTCCCATTTCCTCCATTCTGATGGAAGTAGTCTTTTGATACCCGGAACATCACAGGCTGTGAAGTTAGAAACACCAAGTTAAGTTTGTATGGTTGGACATGCTAGTAAAAGAAGAAACAGAAGACAAAGAAGAAAAAGAACCTGCGACATATGCATCAGCTTTGATTATCTCTCTACTTGTAGCCTAAAAATGTCCAAATGAGTAAAAGTTAGTAATAAAGGCTACATAATCGTGCAAAGCAGAGCAGTGATACACTGATAAGAAAGCTTGCCTTGGTGAGGAGAAGGCCTTTAACATAGGTCTCTCCATCAGGTGATTTCTCATAGAGAACCTCTCTGCATCCCCACCTTAGGTGAAACCTGAAGGATTTGTCATATGATGTAAGTCTTAAATTCTACAGCAGTACACAGAAATTTCACAAGAAAAACTTGGTCTCTGTCACCATACCTACCACCCCTGTCTGTTATATACTTCTTTATTGGGCCACTTAAGTAAACATCAGGTGAACCCTTTAGCATGCGTAACAGGGATGCCTCTGTCTTTGTGGCAAACAAGGTGAAAATAGTAAGCATGCAACGTGCACTGATATTATCACAGTCAATGAAACCCAAAGCGTAAGCAACAGGATCCCACATTCTTGTGATGCTCTCCCGAGTACCACCTTTGGACATGAACCAATCACTGAAACTTACCTGAAATAGGTTAAATTTAAATTGACAAAGAGTTTAGTTATCAGTGAGTTAGAACACATTTTGAAAAGATACTGACTACTGCAATGACCTAGATGCACACTCCTAATGAATCCGAAATTAAAGCAAGGGATACTTACATCATCCAAGTCCCGCACTTGCTGCAATGCACCATCCGGATCAACAAGAGCCCGAACAACTGGGCTAAGGGCAAGAGCAACTGCATTTCTTGCTTTATCATAAACCTGCAAAACAATTTAAATATTAAAGATTAACACGTGTAATTATGTCATCAAATAGCATGTGGTTAATTAAAAATATTATGAGTGACGAGGCTTCAACCCTTATTTCAAGCCCAGAATCTTTCACACTGATGAGTTTTCCCACAAAAGATTATCCATTCGGTCACACATATTAAAGGGAAAAGGAATGGCAGTAATGTCTATAGGAATGAAACTTAGAAGCAAAGGTTTGCAATTTAGATTTTAAGAAAGACGCACACCTAAATATTAGGTACAAACTAAACCATGTTCAGTCTGAAAATATGACAATCATGAACGAGCATTGCAAACGTAAATTGTTCACAAGGATTGGCAGCTAGGAACCTATTAGAACTCTTCAATGGATTGCTCCATCTCTTAGAACAACATAAAGGAGTAAAATATTATATTGTGAAAATCTGTAATATAACTCAACATTACAGAACCTGCAGTGTATCCTGCACGCAATAGTTCAAATATAAATATGACGGATTGTAACAGTACTAAAAAAATTCACAAATCAATTAAGCTGATTGCTTTGTAACCACGTGAAATGGTAGAGGGAAGAGACACTTCACAAAGCGATGGTGTATGGATGGAAAGGTATGGAATACAGATGGAATTCAAAGAGTACGCACGCCACTAAATATGTCAAAAAAGGGCAGACCCAGTGCCGGAGGCTCCCACATGAGTGGGGTCTGGGCTAAATATGTCAGAAAGAAACAATATGCTTTAGTTAACAAATTGCAGCTTGAAATAATCAGCATGTCGATCCACTTAAGCATGATACTGATAAAGCTCAAGGTGAAATTTACAACATATTGGGAAGTATGGAATTGCACAAAGCTCAGAAACAAACTGAAGGATAAAATAATATCATGAATTGAGATTCTCCTTTAGAATTATAGTAGTCCTAAATTATGAGTTTACCTTGAGCTGATTAGTTCTTAGGAATGCTTGAATGCCATGTAATGGAGCTCCCACCGGGAACCGAAAATCAAGTTCTGTATAGCAGGACAAACAAATGAGTATCTACATAAATAAGTTACAAAATATACAAAGAAAGTATGATACAGTTATTTCAGCCAACTTCCAAAGTACGCAACATGGCACCCAATGCCATGTAACTGCTGCATTAATTCAAGATGGTATTGCAGGACTAAGTAAATAGTTCACCACTGCAGGCAACACAGCATTCTTGTTTATCAGAAAATACAAAGGAACCCCTTTAAAGAATATGCAACAACAGTATAGTATTTGCACATAGTAAACTTGAATAGTCAATACATGGAAGTTCTGCGCTTGTCTATTCTATGATGGTTACAGAACTCCAGAAGTAATAAAAAATAAATAACTTAAATATTCCAGTTCCAGCATAAGAGCATTGCTCCACAAAAAAAATATGTGTATAGGGTAGTTGAACCTACCACCAATCGTGCCCCCTTTATTTACAAAAGTATGGGTGTGTTCCTTCACCAGTAGATTATTATCAGCGCCAACCTGAAAAACAACGAGGTTTAATTTATCGCTGTTACATATGGCCAACAGGGCAGTAACACCGGTGCTCAACAAGGCACCAATTTGTTTGGTATTTTGGTTCATATGGACAAACTGGCTAACACAATTCTCACTATAAGTCTACTTCACTCTAGGAGGTCCAAAGACATCCAATTCCAAAATTTCTTGGATTAAAACCATCTTGATATCTAAGTAAGGAAGAGTTTCAGTATGCTTCCAGTGAGCTTAATGTACAAGGGCTTTTACCTTCTTCATGAGGCGGAAGAGATTGCTGTAACACCCGAAGAACACGTGCAGCCCCATCTCGATATGGTTCCCTCGCTTATCGACAAAGGAGCCAACCTTACCACCGATAAATGGACGGGACTCGTACAAATCAACCTGTAAGCCAGACCATGTCCAGCCCATCCAGGGTGTAGAAAGAACTAAGATTATTAGAAAGCAATGATTTTCCTGCACAAGAAAACATTTAGCTCTGCTGAAGACAACAAATCTGCTAACCTCATGGCCCTGGTCCAAGAGCTCAACGGCGGTGGACATGCCGGCAAGGCCTGTCCCTATGATGGCCACCTTGAGCTTCGGGCCTCTGTAGTGCTCCGGCTCGGGTGGGAATAACCCTTTGGGAGCTGCCACACATGGAAATAGTTCTTGTTTCAGCATTTCCTTTTGCAGTTAGTATGGCATTTGAACGAACCTAAAGATCTTTAAAAGAAACAGAACTGACAGGACAGAATTTAGACCAATCTACCCAGACTCTAAACTCTTTGGTCACAAGGAATACATTTCTGACACAACTTTTGATAACTGTTTTCTGCTAGTATAATATATTATTTATAAAAGTCACTGCATAATTGCAATATCATGAAAGAACTTTTCAGAAGAAGAAAAAAAAATCTAATTATATCGATAGCCAAAGTCAATTAAGCATAAAGTTTGACTTGTGGCACCCAAAAGGACAAACTTTTACAGACGAAGGGGGCACTGGAACTACAGCGTGGGAATTGCACAAGGATTAACAGTTCCTGAACCCACTTTCAGGCTTTCAGCTCCCACCGCCCCAGGAGAGCAGAGGAGGGAGACTACGACGGACCAATCAAGAGTAGAGTAGGATCCCGTTCCTCACCGTTGACGCCCATGTCGGAGACGTTGCTGTCGAGCGAGCAGCGGACGGCCGCGGCCGCGGCCCGGCGCGGCGGCAGCAGGCCCGTCCCTGGCCGCGCCCGGCGCCGGGACGCGAGTGCCGGGGCCAGCGTGGAGGCGGCGGCGGCCACGGAGGCCATGGCGCGGCTGCTCCGAATGGCTAGCACTCGGCAGCGGCGGGGCGGCGGTGGTGAGAATGGGTGGCGGCAGCAGCCGTGGTCGGGACAATTTGTGTGAGGGCCGGAGTGGCGGAGTTGGAGGGGGGAAGGGAAGCTGGGAGGGGATGGGGGGCCGAAGATGCCGTCGCGCAGGGATTTGTCGGGGGCGTCGTGGCAACACCAGGCCGCACCAATGGTGGTGAATACAATACACCACGTTGCAAGCGGCCAAACGGCACTCCCTCCCTAGCATTTCTGCTACGTGCACAACGGCATTCCCATTATATACCCCGTTCGCTTGAGCTATTTTTCAGCCATGAAATAGTATTTTTCTCTCATAATATTTCAGCATAAGCATCAACATAACAATTGCACTTTCTTTTGTCCCTGCCAATATTGGATTTGTTTGACATAGCAACTGTAGGGAGAAGTTTTTTTTTTTGAAACGTACGGATAAAGGAAAAGCACGGTTAAGAGAAGCCGGACTTAGCGGGTGTTTGGACCAGGGAGCTAATAATTAGCCCATGATTTTGGATACTAATTAGAAACCATAAATATGAGCTAATTCTAGGCTAATAAGAGATAATGAGGGATAATTGATGGTTAGAGTTCATTAGCCTTTATTAGTCCATAATTAGCTCATGTTTAATCCATTTTTATAAGGTGGGTTAATTTTTAGCTCTAGGATCCAAATATGCCCTTAGTCTATGCATTTTGGGAAAATCATGGCCAAAAAATGTCGTTTGGCTTCTTGTTTTAGCTTTTTTTTTAAATCATAAACAACTTGTAAGTTGTACCAAACAGGTCCAATAGAGTTTCATCGCACATGTTATTATAGGTCATTAGGATTAGTCATCAAGATGTTACGTACTCTATCTGTTCCAAATTGTAAGTTGTTCTAGCTTTCGAAATACATACCTTTTCTTTTTACGGAAACATAGCTTTTCTCTACTATTAGATATATGTTATGTCTACGTACATAGTAAAACTATGTATTTTGAAAAGTTAGAACGGCTTAAATTTGGAACTGAGAGTGTATAAGATAAATATGCAAAAGAGAATTCATACCAATAGTTGCAAGGGCAATGCATATGTACTCATATCCTAAGCCAATCAATCTTAAATTATGTTAGCTTATCCGATCCTATAATAAATAATTAGATAGTGCTTGCTTCAATATAGGTGAGCGTGCATATATGTAACTGAATGTATAGATGTACCGTGACTAAATCAAAATATATATATTGTGTAATCCCAAAAAAGAATCAAAATATATTTCATTAGCACGTGGGAGATAAACGTTCTTCCTATTCCTGTTATAATATTGAAGATCTTTAGAAACAAAGTTGTAGAAAAGAGCTGCAAAATGGTGGGCTTTAACTTATTGGGGAAAACCCTCCGTGTGGCCATAGAAGATGGAGATGAATAAAGAAACGAACGCGGCAGTTCATAGAGTTTTGGGCGGTAGTGCTCCTTATCGTCTTCCTCCACCGTTGTGGGTGAAGCACCATGGTCGGCATCTTAGCTTTTCCACACCCAACACCCTTTCCACTAGGAAACCCAGTATGTAATCACAACTTTCATACGAAAAATGAATAATCATCCTTATACTCTGTATTATTACAACTTTCCCGTATTATTAAAAAAACGGGTGTTCATGATCTCTCTATATAGGCATCATATAGAAAAGTCGTTCTACTATGATGAATGCAACATTGTACCGTGTAATTAGTAGAGCTCTAGCTATAACCAAAACAACTTTGGTTGTGACTTTCCTGGTAGTGCTGAAGCTATTAAAAAAAGTCTGCTGAATAATTTATCATGTCTTGTCATGAAATGGCATAGATAGAGAGAACAAATGTCTAAGATACCCTTGGCTATCTGACTTGTCGTGCAATTGAACTGTATATGTATGTATATATGGTTTTATATTTGAATACATATGAAAAAAGATAATATAAATTATTGGCAAGCAATGACTGCTAGTGCCTTGTTTATATAGTATAGGGTAATGATCCAGCTAATAGAGGCATGATACATCATCACACGTATCGTGGTACAATACATTATCTTTTTTAATAAAAAAATGGCCACGGCTAAAAGAGGGATTTTGGTTTGGAGGACAAATTGGAGAATCTAAAACGTTACTGGGCTGGGGCGACAAAGAGGCCCACGGACGGTAGACCATCATGTTTTAGCTAGGCCTTACAAAATGCCGAGATATCAGATACGCCACGTTCCACACACACACAAAAAAAAACAGATATGCCACGTATTTTTTTAAAAATCAGATATGCCATGTCAGATGAGACATATCTGACGTGGAGGCCTAGCTAAAAATCAGATATGCCACGGACAATTAAATCAGATATTTTTTTTAGGAATGGAGGAAATAACAAGCACAATTAAATCAATCATTGTAGTGTATATTGTTGAAAACCGTTATATTTTAAACGTGAAGAGACCTTGCCATCTCAGGTTGTCAAGAAAAATTCAAAAATCCAAACACCTAATAAATTCTCCATAGTTTTTTCACTTGATACTTGAAAAATAGTTCTTAAAAATTCCCCATTTCCTAAATCAAAAAGAGTTATTTTTGGAGACCAAGTATTTAGTATTATTTGAATAGGCAAGTATACTTGATGCTACCGTGCATTTAACACAATTTTCAATGTGTACCATTGATCACTACTCCTATTTTATTTGAATATTTATGAAACAAACCTAAGCATACAAAAATTATGTGTTTGTAAGTTAAAGATTAAAAGTTTATTGATAATCATTTTTTAAAAAATGATTAAAAGCTACTAGTCTCTTCTAACCAAAATAATTGTACATCTTGTTTTTCGAGGAGACAAACTTTTTGAAACTTAATTATTTGTACAAAATATTATCAATATTTGTATCTCATATATTATGAAAATATATTTCACTATTAATTTAATGATACTTATCATGCATTAAAAAATTATATATATAATTTTTAAACTAAAAAAACAATTTCACAAATATCGATACTACTAAATCCGTTCCAAATTATAGTTCGTTTGACCTTTTTGATCTTAACTTTACCACTCGTCTTATTCAAAAATTTGTGTTAAATATCACTTTTTTGTGGCTTACTTTATTAACAAAAATTCTTCAAGAATGACTTAAATTTGACTATATTTGCATAAATTTTTTGAATAAGACGAGTGATCAAACTATATATATATATTCTCCCTCCAGTTTTAAATTATAATTCGTTTGACTTTTTTTTATCTCATGTTATATATATATATATATATATATATATATATAATATATATATATATTCTCCCTCTAGTTTTAAATTATAATTCGTTTGACTTTTTTTATCTCATGTTTGATCACTCGTCTATATATCGGTAAGGCTATTCTACAGCTGGCCACAGAATAACTTATTCTATGGTTTGTACCAATTTAAGATAATAACAATACACATTTATGATACATGAGTTACTATAATTCAAGACGATACTTATCATAATGCTATAGTAAATTATTTATGAGGGAGTTATCATAAGTGATTTACGATAATAACAATACACATTTACGTCTATATATCGAGAGATTATGGTATATAGACGTACTGTTCTGTAGATGGCCATAGAATAAGTTATTCTGTGGTCACTTTGAATTACGATAATTACTATACTAATTTATAAGATTATGGTAACTCCCTCATAAGTGATTTACTATAGCATTATGATAAGTATCATCTTGAATTATTGTAACCCATGTATCGTAAATATGTATTGTTATTATCGTAAATTGGTACAAACATTATCGTAAATCAAGGTGGCAATAGAATAAGCTATTCTGTGATCGGCTGTAGAATAGCCTTACCGTGTGTGTGTGTGTATATATATATATATATATATATATATATATATACAGAGAGAGAGGCTATTCAGTAGCCGGCTATAAAATAAGTTATTCTGTAGCCACTTCCATTTACTATAATCTTATATACTAATTTACGATAATGTCAATATATATTTACGATAGTTGGGTTACTATAACACATGGAGATATTTACCGTAACGTTATATTAAACCACTTAGTAAGGAGTTACTATAATCTCGTAAATTAACATAGTAATTATCGTAACTCAAAGTGGCTACAGAATAAGTTATTCTACAGCCAGCTACAGAATAGTAGTTCTATATATATATATATATATATATATATATATATATATATATATATATATATATATGATTCGTGAGAATGTATATATCGCCGGAGCGCAGCAGGCGCGGTGCCAGCTCATTCCCAGAGACTCCCAACCAAAAACCCCACGGGGGACGGGGCACAGGCGCACGAACGGGAACGGGAGCCGTGGCCACCAACGGAAACGGAAGCTTCCCCATCCCCGTGCCGCGCTCGCAGTCTCGGCTCGCATGGACTCCACCGCGGCGGCGGCGGCGGCGCCGGTGCTGCTGGTGACGAACGACGACGGGATCGACGCGCCGGGGCTCCGCTTCCTCGTCGACCAGCTCGTCGCCGCGGGGCGATACCGCGTACTCGTCTGCGCGCCCGACACGTAAATGCCCTCCCTCCCCATCTGCTACTCGCTCCCTTGCGATTCCTTGCTTGCGTGGTTGTTTGATCGGCGGTGCCTTGCGTAGATTCTGTGGAAGGATCACGAGATTTGCCTCGAGAGGATGTAGTAGGCTAGGGAACTAGAATTGTGAGGGCAATTGTTTTTACCCCTTCTGGCATTCTCCCCGAGAAGACGAAGCAGAGGAATTTGGGGTAACAAATTTGTATTTGGAGAATAAGTGTCACCTATTCTCTAAATAAAATAAAATAAAATAAAATAATTGTTTTCGTAAATTTCCTGTTGATCATCGCGTCATTGGTATGAAATTGTGGGGGCTAATTTTGCTGTAAACAAATTAAGGAACAGGAAAAACAAGCTTGTCCTTGAGAAGCAAAACTTATTAATTAATCCTGTTTTCCTGCGATGTTTTTGGGCTAAAGTTTTTTTTTCTTTTAGTAAAAATGGCCAACGGCTCCTCGTACCGGTTGGTCAGGATGTCCGGTCGGCACTCTCGCGTGCAGGGTTCGAGCCCCCACGGGTGCGCTCGTTTGCCTACCGGAGTTAAAAAAATCCCCTCGCCTGTCCCGAGTCTCCCAAAGCACATGTAAATGGACCTTTCTATTTAAACTCTGATTACTAATAGTTTCTTTGCTTAACTTTAGTCTGTCATGACTAATAGCTGAGCCCCTTTCTATTCTGTATGATCCTTAATGCAGGTACTTAGTGGAATCAACATTGGAAATAATTGTGGGTACCATGTGTAAGTATCTCTGTCGGTACAGACATGATCTTAAAAACATATTGCTAGAGTTAAGAAGTCCTCTAAATTATATGGTGGAAATTGTAACAACTAATTAGATTACTTTTGGTTTTAGGTTCAGAAAGAAATATATGTATATAGCAATGACTCATGAGTGTTTTTGTGCTTTTATTTAATCTGGAACAGTTGCTGGTTCTAGGGAGGCATTCTTATATGGGATTCCTGCAATAGCTATGTCATATGATTGGTATGCAAAGTTTTTTTTCATTGTTTTCATCTGCAGTGTTAAAACCGCTTTCTTCACACTCAGCAGCTGCTTGTTATTTGGTGACAAAAATATCTATATGTTGAATCCTTTGTAAGTATCTCATCAGCTGCTTGTTTAAGAACATGGTTAACAGTCATTGCATACTCTGTTGTGTGCTTTCAATTTCTGTTGAATCCTTTGAAGTGTTTAGCAAGTGCTGTGATACAATCTAATCTAAAATATAAAACATAGAACTACTTCTAATATAGAAGCAGTTGACTGATATCTGGTGTACCAGCTGCTTAATTATCTTTTTTTCTTTCGAAAGCCAGTTGTTTGGCCAATGGTTGATCTAGAAAATGGATTGGCCAATGACTGTAACTTTTGATATTTGGTGATACCAGGTGCCTAATTATCTTTATTCCTTTTGGGAAGCCAGTTGTTTGGCCAATGGTTGATCTAGAAAATGGATTGACCAATGACTGTAACTTTTGTGTGTAAAGCATATGTGGAATTACTATGTTTCTTCTTCTCAGGAAATTGAACTAATTCCAGTTTCATATCAACCTTAATAATCCTATGTTCTGATTATATGAATACCTCAGGCTTCTTTGCAATTTCAGTAGATATCAGGACCACAGATTTCATATAACTCCTACTAGTGTTTATTTATGAAAACCCTAAAAGTCGATTTCAATGTAGACATGTGCTCAATATTTGGTTACACCTCTCTCAGCCATGTCCTTCCATTTGCTGAATCTATGCCATTCAGTCAAAAAGTGAACTCTGTTTGATCTCCCAATTGTACAGGGTTGCGGGTCGGAGCAGTGTTAATGACCTCAAGGTGTCTGCAGAGGTCTGCATGCCTCTGATAAATGCTATCGTGACTGAGATCAAGAATGGGACTTATCCTCAAGGATCATTCTTGAATGTAGATGTACCAACAGATGCTGCACACCACAAGGTAAATCTCCAACAGTGATCTGAATTATACTTATGGATTACAATTTTAAAACTTGTATAGTGGAAGCAAATCTAAATACATTGATGAACTATGGAGCATGGTCCAGGACCTGTCAAAGTCCAAGATTTTGATATTTCTGCTGAGTTCCACTTATCGTTCAATGTTAATGCATTTTGCCTCTAGAAAATCTTTAAAATACTTTTGCCCCTTTTTTTTTGTTTATGAACAGATTGAATATCTAAATATTTTTTAAATTTGTCATCAATAGGGCTACAAAATTACAAAACAAGGAACATATATGGCCAGAATTAGTTGGGAGCAAACAGTTTACAAGAAGCCTGCAGTAGAAAGTTACCAGACAGCAAACATGGATGTTGATGGCGAAAAGGACAGCGGACTAGTTACTTCAGAAGATGACCTACTGTTTAAGAGAGTGGTAAGTTAGCATTTCCAAACTTCATGCTAATCTGCCAATCACATTTGAACTTCATCTGATAGATAGCCTTTAAGAAAAATAGTTTGTTAAGATAAAAAACCATTGTGCCCCAGAACATTAGAATTGAATTGATCAATCTATTCACTTTTCTGATGTTCAACATAATGGTCAGATGTAGCCTGATTTTAAGCTATTAACTTTAGATGGGTTTTGCATTATTGATATTGATATTACACACTTTTATAAATGAGGACTACCTATATACATAAGTCATAGCTGTTTGTCTATGTCATGGTGGATCTCTGGACATTTTGTTGTTCCTCTTTTATGCTAGCTTGCTAAAACATCTCATGTTACGAATTAAAATGGATGAGTTAATGCATGGTAATAGTTTTTGTTGCTGGAATTCCATACAGATTGTAGGGAGAAGTTCCGATGGAGTGGAAGGAGAGGAAATGGACCACAATTCCCTAGTTGATGGATATGTAAGAATGACCTAGCTACCATACGACTTCCATTTTCTCGTAGAACATATCTTCTAACACATATATCTTGTTTATTCCAGATCACCGTTACTCCTTTGGGTGCTCTTTCCCGCACAGAACCAGATGCCATACCCTATTTCAAAGCTTGCGTCTCACGTCTGGTTGACAATTTCTCTTCTCTTAGCCCTTCTTTTTCTAGAAGCAGAGTAGGATGAGCCTAATACAGCTGTTTATTTATCACCATGATCAAATTTCATGTTGCTTTTCCTAATCCATCGACCTTGTTACCATACATGGGCAATATTGCCATTCTTGCTGTCTGAATGTTATGATCACAATCAGCACATATTCTGCTTCATAGCAGAATTATGCATTCACAAAGAGATGCCCTGCTTCTTCACCATGCATCTGACTCTTCTTCTTTGTGATGCTTCCCAGTGACAAGGATGCTTACCAGACCGGCCAGACTGGACCTCCTGATGTCGTCGCTTGCCCACAGAGTAGCGAATAATCTACATAAATATCAAGCATATTATTTGAGTTACTGCCACACTATGTAGTAACGATAATTCATAATTTTTGTGGCATGTATTCATGAAATAACTCAGTTTCTCTGTAACTATGCTTCATCAATAATTCAAAGTTATTGTAATTCCATGGCTTCGTTTTATAACTATTATACTTAGCTATTAGCTCGTCATTATAGCCCATTTGATAGTAATAAATATAAGATTTAACCAATCACGCTTCACTCTGGCAATCATATCTTTTTTGGAGAAAAAAAATATGACCAAAATAACCCCGAAGATTGTCTCAAGCACAAGTCACAGAGGTGAATTAGAATTTAAAGATGAGAAATTAGCGCTAAGAAGGGCATTATGGGAGATGTGCATTAGGAAGATGATGTACGTGAGAATAAGTGTGAGGTCTAGAATTTAAAGAGGAATTCTGTTCTGTACCTACGATATCTATTTGTGACCATATTATTGCAGATTTATGATTCTTACAGGACCAAAAATATCCCTCTCCAAAAGATGAATTTACATTAGACATTCTGTCCAAAACGTAAGACGTTTTCTAGGACTGTTGTACAACATATATTCTCTGTCCTAGAAAAAAAATAATTGTGTTAATTCAAATCATCTTTAGTTGCCTTGAAAAAAATCATCGTTAGTTGGACTGTTTTTTATAAAAATATGCTAATATTTATAATTTCAAATACATATTATTATTTATTAATCATAAAATATATTATTATAGTGTACCTTTTTGGAATGATCATAAGTATTGATAATGTTTTATTATACGTTCACTTAAATTTAGGATAGCTTAACTTAAACCAAATCTGGAAGCATTCATTCGTTTTGAGATGGCAAGTATAAGGATGGCAACATTCGATCGGTGGAGGTGCAAGTGGGCCGAACCCAAATCTGGGGGGGTGTGGAAATCCATCACCAAAACCAAACCAATACCAAACCCATAGAGATATATATACACATATTCACATGTGTAAATAAGAGGCAACAAATAATAAATATTTTCATGAGTCAACTTTAAATAAATTTAATAATCTAAGTAAACAAATTATTATTAGTATATTATAAAACATGAGTTTTAATTCCAATGATTTATTTCGATATCCATTGGATATCCACGTTTTTGGGTGAAAAACCATCCCTAAACCCAACCCACGAACTTCATGGATATCCGCCTAAACCCGATCTGTTGCCATCCTTAGGCAAGTAACACGAATGGTGCAAGTGGGCCCCACTTGGGGGGGGGTGTTTACTGATGCAAAGTGAACGAACCATATAAAATAAGCATGTAGTTGAATCTGAAGTCTTTCAAGATAACTAGATAAGGTAATATATGTTATCATCAAATACATAAATGTTTGCTTCAAAAGATACATATAAAAAAAATCTTGCTCAACAACTCCTACATAGGTAAAGTATAACCCGTGCACAGGATACCTTTGGATCCACGATAAATACATACGGCTATACATACGAGTGTCGGCAAGCCGGCTGCTTCTGCTGGAAGATATTTATTTCTGTCCGGGCAATTTGCGATAAATAAAATAAATAAATACAACCCAAATATATAGAAGCATTGATCGATACACTTTAAACCTGCATATATTTATCTAGTCCAAAATACACGAGCACGACCACTTGGCAGCCATTCGTGCACGCGTGAGAAAACGAGGGACGCGTCAGGGCACCAAGAAATTGGCAGGCAATTTAAAAAATAATGTAACAAAAAAGCAGGGACAGATACACTCTAACAACCAGCAGCCTCCATCCCCATACATACACACAATGCAAATACGTACACACAACTGTACAGTACGACAGAATTTAAGGTAAGGCACTTGAGCAAGAAGTGTATGTGTCTATGACTCTATGTACAGAGAGCTCAACCTCACACTCATTTTTCAAGCCCAACACAAAGGTGACATCTCAACCTCAAAGAAAGAAGCAAAAGAACAAAGGGAAAGCATCACACACAAGCATAGAAACCTCTTTCTTCTTCAACCTCTGAGTTCTCTTTTTTTTCTCCTTCGGTTTCGGAATGCGAAGGTGGTAATGGCCTAGTACCCTCATCAAAGACAAACCATAGATATATAGTACTGAAGGATGGGAGGCCTACGCACGCACGCACGCAAGGGAGCTAGCTAGCAGTGCTGCTCTCTCACACTGTACCCCACATAAATAGGTACACGCCATTGCTGAGCTCCTTCAGAGCTTGAGCTTGAGGACAGCCGGGTGGCGGTGCGAGTCGATGAGGATGGACCAGAGGACGTGCACGTCCTCGTCCTGGCACGACTGCACGTCCTTGTACAGGATGTGCATTCCCCTCCCTGCCAAGCAAAGTCACCCCAGTTATCTATCAATGCAAATCAAATTGTGCAAGCATATGCATGTTCAGAAACAACAAGGCAGGCAGGCAGGCAGGCCAGCAAGAACTCATGGTGTTTCAAATTGCAATGCAGCATGATCACAACAATTCAGATATGATGAGTGATGATCAGAGGCAGAGAGACAGAGGGAGAGAGGGAGATGAACTAGAACTACTTACGGTTGCGGCGCTCGGAATGCGCCCTCACCCACATCCTCCTGAGAGGGGAGAAGAGGGAGTGGAGCCACCCCATCCACACGGAGTGGGCGGAAAACGAGCTAGGATCAAACAAATGTGGCTGCGCTGCAGGGCTCCTATGCAAAAGGAAAGGAAATAGGCAGCAGCAAGAGGATGCCGGGGTAGTAGAGAGCGGGTAGCCATCAGGGGGGGCGTTGCTTTTGGCACGGGGCAGGGCAGGGGTGAAGTCTATTGCACTGTTCTCAGGCCTCAGGCCACACAATGTGCTTCCTTGCAGCCCAATCATGGTGTCCTCAGCAATTTATTCTGGTATCTTGTCCCTTTCCCCTCCTCACTCTTCTTCCTACCTCCCTCCCCTCCCCTCGCTTTCCTCCATCCCCCTTGCATTGGAACCGCGATTTCGCACCCTTTAACCTAACCCCCCACCCCCAAAAAAGAATATATACTAGTAATGCAAGTAAGGTAGTAGTAGTGCCACACCAGAATGTGGTTATATATGTCCTATATGTATGTATGTGGATTTCATTTTTCCTGTTGGATGTACCTTCTGCAGGCTGATCAGCTTTTATAATTCTGTGTACTTTGAAGAAGCCGAGTGCTGTTTGGTCAGCCTTTGCCGCCATCCTTGTGTTTTATGCCATATCTTGGTCTCCCCTTTCTTAAAGGAAAGAATGTCTTTGAACAAACACTAATGGTCGTCGTAGCTTTTGGTTTTAATATTTGTATAAGGCAGGATACTGATTTGCTGGGTCCGATTTGCCGATTTGGAGCTATTATGCACTTAAGCTAGTGCACAAAAAAGAAGGCATAATAAAGAAGCTAAATACTGACATATCAATAGTCGCTAATTTGTTTTAAGTAATCATTAACCTTTTGAATAGATATTGCACTCACTCAGACTAGTAAGTAGCACATACCTTTTAGATGTTGTCTATTGTGTTGTCGGTACGCTGCTCTTGTCAGTGTGTATATGTACATGCGTACAGTCTTTGACCAAGACTCGCATCTTAGCTTCTCCAAGCTGCAGAAAACAATGCATGAGGTGGTGCTCTTAATGCTTGCTGAAGAGGTACAAACAACTGAATGGCCGTCCCAACTTGTATATATACTCTGTCGATATTAGATACAATGTAGGATTAGACAAGAACACACAATGTTTTGGGCTGGTAAAGTTTAATATGCTTCTAATATATAGAGTACCAAACAGAAGCCGAGGGAACAATTAAAAAGGTGCAAACAGGTTGATTTGACCAGCAAGGGTCACTGTCCGTTGTTGGATTGTTCTTCTAGAATATTGTGTAATAATTCGTTCAAAAAAGAAGGATATTGTGTAATAGCAAAGAAAACATAATGTTGTCCTGTTGATTAGATGCAGACAAGTGAATGGCCATCCATAATTACACATACTACAGTCGTCCCTGAATAAGTTAATTTATGAAAAGAGTGCAAAGATTTATGACACCAAAGTAGTATTATTAGACACAACATAAAATATATTTTCATAATATGCTTATTTGGTTTCATAAATATTTGTGTTTTTTCTATAAATTCGGTCAAACATAAAAAAAAAAGTTTGACTTCATACAACTCTAGGAGTTGATTTTCAGGAACAGAGCAAGTATATAGTTTACTTTTACCGAACAAGTTACCATTTACATGTAAGGTTGTGAGATTTTTATATTCTTTCAACAGGGGAGCGACAAAACAAAAACAGAGAAGAACAGTAAAAAAGGTTCAAACATATTCATCCATCAAAAAAGGAAAAGCTCTACATGTGGACCAGCCAGGGTCTTTATTCTTTGTTTCCTTGTTATTCTAGAATGTCGTGTAATAGCGAGGAAACATAAACTACTCGACTTAGCATGTAAGCAAAATGGAATTAACTCATTATAATCACTGATCAGGTAAGCCCGAGCCTTATCAATTGAAGTTCTTGATCTTGGCCACTGGTCTTCTTGAGCACAATTTACTGGCCACTTATTATATACTGTTGATGCTTAATATTGACAGGCCCCCAGCAGCACCATCAGTTCACATCTGTCTGGTCCAGACTAGTGTAAGAAATTTCAAAGGTTTTGTGTTCCATCACCATCCTGGCACACGAAACAACTTCACCAACAGCAGTTTGTGTGACTTGCAAAAATAAAGTGATGCGACATCACAACTAGTAACAGCAAAAGAAGAAAAAGAAAAAAGCCACTGTAATTGTTATTTTCTTTCAACGTTGTTCTAAACAGAAGAAAACAAGTTGAGGCGTGGAGCAAAACCAAGATATTCCATTTTATTAATTTGAGTACTAGTTATTCTTTCTGCACATGAATATTAACAGAAGTGCTGATTTGGCACTGGCAAACTGTGTTTGAAGGATGAAGAATACATATAGTTATAGGACAGACATCAGTCCTACCATTACTTGTTGTGTATTGCTGACAATTTAGTAGCTGATTCCTGGCTCAGATGCAAAGAAAATTATTTATCCAAACAAAAAAGTGAAATTGGAGTGTAACTTGAAGAGATATATTGCTCCTGATAAGTGAGAACATGGTTTCAGAGCTCATCAGATGAAACTAGAAACACTTGCAGACTGAATCAGGCATTCTACATAGCAAACTGGTGGCAACATGCAACGAACAGTGAACAGGATAAGCTTTTCGTTCAAAAAAAATGTTAGCAATTTTAGGATGTTTTATACTGTTGAAGAAATCCTTGTGCTAAGAGCAAACTGCATCAGTTTACTTTCTTTTTTTTCTTTTTTTTTGCGAAAGATCAGATTACAAAACAATTTACAATAGGATGAAGGGGACGACTATGGCACAAACAATTTGAAGCTCCAAAGGTTTTTCTTCATTATGTTCATAGCACACAGTTCTGTTCCATGTCTCACTTGGAGGATGAGTAATTGATGGTGGTTAAAATGGACATAAAATGCATACACATGTAGCGTTATCATTTCTTACTACAGGTCTCAATTTTTGTAAATGAATGCAACAAATAAAGCAAGATATAATACTAAGTATGCAGAATCGTAATAGAGATATGAAATTTGGCACTTTGGCTCAGATAGATGTGTGATTAAACTGATAGACTTTTTAACCTCAGCTTTGCCTGTTGCCAAAATTACAGCACAGTCCAAGACCCTTGCAAGAGCAAGATGGCCAACAAAAATCTGCATCAATCGTAAGCCAGTAACTGAAGACATATGAGATTAACAGATGTTAAATCATCCCATGTGAAGAAGTGCAAATTCTGAAAGAAAAACGGCCAGAATTGAGCTATATTAGAAGGTATGTTTCGTTTCACTGCTCCTTGCTTTTTATACTAAAACAAGTCCTCTGTTCACGTGCAAACATCGTAAAAATGATTCATGGTCATCTCACCCACTTGCTAGTAAGTAGTAAATGGAAACTGCATGGTAGCAATCTTTCTCAGATGCAGAAATGCTAGTCACTTATCTGGAAGACGATGTCTAGAAACAATTACTGCGACGGTAACATCTACACAGAATTCTGTCATTCAGACTATTTCTCACAAAACTTGAAAACATTGTTGACATTGCATCCTGTTCCAGGTCAACCATTAGGCAATCATTGTGTAGCATCCGATTTTAAAAACAAAACCAGATACACACCATATGTGAGTTCAGAAAGTCAAATCTCACACATAGCTACAAATAAGGGTAATATCAATAGACCAATGTTCAATATATAACGTACTTAGTATAAGTAATATAACCTTAGATAGCAAACAACGGAAAGACAACTCCGATCTTCGGGTGAAGACTCCAATTCCACAGGGACAACTGACTGGTTGATTACAATCATAATTCCTCCAAACTTTAGCAATCTGTTATCCATCCGGGATTTTTATCTAAATAATTCAAAAATAAAGCAAGCGTAAATACATGTCGTACTCAACAAATATAACATGTGGTTCATAAGACTCAAAATGTTGACACTAGTTTAACCGCGATTAGCTTTTAGTGAGTTATCTTTTAGCAATTGGGTGACAACAAGTTTATTCACAAGCACATGTAAACACATGATCAGGTAAACATGAATAATGAATAGCATAAACAATAATCATTAGTGAGCATCTTCATCATCCGTATCATCAGTGTTCATCATCTATTCCGTAAGGGTTCCAAAACCGCACGTGACCGTGAACACGGCTGATATACCAGTTTTACATTCTGCAGAGGTTGTACACTTTTACTGTGAGTCGTAATTTACCCTTTCGCCCGAGGTGATCAGCCTCTTGACCCACTACCTATGAAGGTCGGCAGGGTTCACTATGAAGCCTTTCAAAGGTTCGTCTAATAAGTTAGGACCGTTAGATTTACTCGGCAAACAGATGTAGCCTATACACAAGGGGACAAAGACCGCACTATACCCAATTCGTCAAGTCATTTTTACGCCAATAAAGGTAACCACTAACAAGCTAGAAAATGTCCTCATACTGATGTAACACCCTAAATTTTGCATATTTTTGAAATAGGAGAAAGTGATTAATTTTGCATTTTGTGGGAATTTGAATTTAGGAAATAATAATTTTATTAAAAATAAAATCAAATATAAGGATAGAAACATGTTGATGCATACATGTCATTGCAACATTTATTTTGTGATGATTGGTCTTGATTCAAAGTCCAAATGAATTCAAAATCTAATTGAAAATGAATTTAGAAGATTGTTGGAAAAAGGAAAAGAATTTTTTTTCCCTCCCTTCCATGAATTCTCAATGCAATTCCTCCTCCAAAAGACTCCTCTCCAAGGTCCCTTCCTTCTTCTCATTTCTCTTGAGTAGTCAAGGTAGACACCATGCCTCCCTTCCTCCTTCCTTCCTTAAAGGTGTAAGTCATGAAAACAAGCATGATCTTCCTCTCTCTCGCCGGCCATACTTGGTCGGGTTTAAAACTCTCCTCTTCGTGTCCAAATAAAGAATCCGCCACCACGGATTCGCCAAGTCGTGGGAGGTGTCCCCGCTCTCGGCCACGTTAAATGGGAGCCCGTACCACAAACCACTCCTTTGCTGCTCCCTTCCCGATTCCCCCTCTCATAGCCAATAGAACTGCGAATTAGCCACAGTCGGATTCGCCGTCCGTCTGCACCCGTTCGCACGTGTCGCCGTACAATCCTCATTCTGTCTCTGCACGTGTATCGCCCGGTGAGCTCGCCGTGTCATATCTCTCTCCCCGTGCATCCTCGCGAAGTTCGTGGCTTCTAGGGCGGTTGCATGTGCGCATTGATCGAAATTCTCGCTGCCGGGCCATGGCGCATGCGCGCCCTTCCGATTCCCGGCCGTGTTGGACCCCGTGGTGGACCCGCCACCGTCCCCTCTTCCTTCCGGTGCCCTCGGTTCATCGAACCGTGGCCCATAGGGCCTTAACCGACCATGCCAAGCTCCTAGCGCCGCCGGCAATGGAAAATACGCTGCTGCCCCTCGTATTCGCGAATCTCTCTCTCTCCTTCCCATCCCTAATCGGAGCCATTCGTCCTCGATCCAACGGCCTAGGATGGCCGATACCCTTTCGCCGTGGCAAATTTGTTAAAGAGCCCCTCACTTTTCCCGAAACTGAACCCGCCGTCCCTAGCGCAATTTCTAGAGTACGCTTTCTCGTTTTGAA